TTGAACAAGTACGCTCTTTCGAGGAGGTGAAACGTTTGCTGTCGGATCCACCGACCCTCGCTCACTCGGACATCTCGCGCCCATTTCATGTTCGCATGGATGCTTCTGACTACGCTGTCAGTGGATACCTGTATCAAGTTGACGATAGTGGCAAAGAGCAAGTCATTAGCTATGGCGGCCGGAAGGCGAGCGAAGGGGAGAAAATGTATCCTACTCGCGAGAAAGAGCTCTTGGCGGCTTTACATGCAATGCGGCTGTGGAGAGTTTATCTCATCGACAAACCATTCTTCGTAAACATGGATCACTGCACTTTGCAGTCTATCCTGGAACAAAAGCCATGCTCGCAGCGGTTGGCTAGCTGGCTGAACGAGCTCGGCTCAAACCTACCACTTTTTCGCTGGATACCTGGAACGTCCAATGTTGTCGCCGACGCAATCTCTCGCAATCCTGCCTTTGAGCCAACCGAGTCAGCTCAGCACGTGTCCCTGGCCAGCCTTCTACAACAAATTACCCACCAGTCAACCGCGGATGACGTGTACCTGCACTACATGGCTGTACGACCATCCACCCATCAGCAATGTACTCGGCTCTATCGGCATGATGCTACAGTCGGTCTTCTGTACATGTATCTCGCGACGCGGGCGGATATTTCAGCACCACCGCCAGTTGAAGTGCCACGAATGCTTCGGGCAAACCTGAATCACTTTTTTCTCGAGGACGGCTTATTGTTCTACCAGCCGAGCGCGGACTTGGCACGCCGATTTTGTATTTGCAGACGACATTGACCTGCGCAACGCGATATTTTTCGAGCATCACGACTCTGGTACAAGTGGGCACCCTGGATATTTGAAGACGCTCATCGCTCTCCAGAATAAATTTTACTGGTCCCGCATGGATCGAGCTGTACGTCGCTACGTGGCATCGTGCGAATTATGCCAGTGCATCAAAGATCCCAACGCAAGGCAGCAGGACTTTTGCATCCTTTCGAAGTGCCTGCGAACCGCTGGACGAATATCACCATGGATTTTGTTACTGGACTCCCTTGCGGTCGCCGCTCGAAAAGCGACGTGATCATGGTGATCGTGGGTCGCTTGACCAAGCGTGCCCATTTTGTTTTAACTACAACTACTTGTACTTGTACTGCCGATGAAGCCGCGCGTGTATTTCGTGACCACTATCAGCGCGTCCATGGTCTGCCGTTAAGCATTGTATCGGATCGCTACTCGAAGTTCACGTCCAAGCTCTGGACGGAGCTCATATCATTTCAACGGACCCAACTTCGGCTAAGTTTTGCCTTCAGACCGGAAACTGACGGACAGACTGAGAAAACCAACCACTTCGTGGCCGACTACGTCCGTGCATTCGTTAACGTACGGCATGATGACTGAGATGAAATGCTGAACCTTGCCAAGTTCGCTTACAACCCCCGCGTGCACTCCAGCATTGGCATGGCTCCTTTTACGGCGGACCTCGGTTACATTCCACGATCTGTCGCTGATTTAGCTACTTCATCAATCCGCGGACGTCGATCTCAAGCTGTGAAGTTCGTCGAGCATCAGCAAGTGGTGCTCCAGCAATGCAAGGACATGTTGGAGCAGTCTCAGGCGGCTATGAAGTACTTTCACGATCGAAATCGCCCGACTTTTCAATTTGCTGAAGGTGATCAAGTCCTTCTCAACACATCCAATCTCGATCTCCACCATCTCGGCACCACGGGTAAACGGAAGCTCACACCGCGCTATATCGGCTCATATCCTGTGATCAAGGCTACTACACCAGATACATACCAAATCGGGTTACCGCCCGGGCTGCAGCTCCACGACAAGCTTCACGTTTCGTACCTACGACCCTACGTCTTCGACTCCAACCCACGCCGACTCAACGACGTGCCTCCGTTAATCACACGCGACGGTTTTGAAGGTGTCCAAGTCCAGCAAATTCTACAACGTCGTGTGAAGAACGGCAAGGTGCAGTTCAAGGTGCGCTGGTACGGACGAGATAACAAGGATTCTTGGGAGCCCGAAGAATATCTGGAGCAAGTACGTGGTCTAATTGAGCGCTTTCATCTCGCGTAG